TGCAATATAGTTAAACCTTGTTCCTCAGGCCTTAGGTCTTAATAACTTGAGACTAATAGTTCACTTGCTTAAGCAATTTAAGATTACAATTAACAATGACAGTGTTTGGGTGCAAATTACACTCTTAATTGACTAGGCAACAGATCAAAGCCATTACAGTAACATTAAATTATTGCCTGGAATGGAAGAAGTGTAGATTGAATCTTGCTTATTGCTGAACTCTTAGCTGCAGTCTGCCTGCATTGTAACGGTCTAGCTCTTTGCCTCACCTGGAAAATAAAGCCTGCAGGTGGCAACATCTGGATCACTTCACCTGGACACAGGTGAAGAGTTAGTAAATAGGTCAGGCCTGGTAAGATTGTGTAGCATGTTTGATTTGAAAGAAAAAAAGGACTTTAGCGTGTACATGGACATACATCTGGTGGCAGCTCTTTAAACCAAACACATCTTGCACCTCAAATTAAGCCAGATAAACCTTGTTGCTTAGTGTTGCATGATTCCAGGAAAAGAATTTGTTTGTATAACCAAATACCTGTGGACTTCTTTCCACACAATGCTTGTTCATTGCAAGTTGCTTTATAAGGTATTTAATTATTAGAGCTGTGGAATGCTTTGGATTTGATTTAGAAGAAGTGCTTCAGATAGCATGAATGCAAATACAGCTCCTGTTCATTACTCATTAAAGCAGTTGTGTCTTTTTCTAGGATACATAGTTGGCTTAGTGAATCAAAGTCAGATGGTGCATTTGTACTCCCATGTATCCTGAAACACTTCTTCATAATCAAAACTTAGCATTGCTCAGTCCTATTAACTACAGTAGCCAGATTTGAGTTTTGCATTCAGTTCTTAGTTTTCTAGATTTGTTGTTGTTGTTGTTGTTACTGCACTTTAAGTGTGCTTATTATCTAACAACAGTAATTGGGTCATGCACCAAGATTAATTGTGGGTTAGCTAACTTTCCAAATCCAACTGGCCACCAAAATGTCTGTTAGGCACACTGATATATTTGCTTTCTATTTCACTAAAGCTGAAGTGGCCAGTATAGATGTGGGTAATGGCCATTATGGAATTTCTAGCTTGAAACTTTTTCATTTTTTTTTCTTCTGAGAGTCAAGTGATAGATGGAGAAAACATTTGAAGTGATTTTTTTCAAATAGAGGTAAAATAAGCAGTAGCCCGACTAAACCAATGGAGATGAAAAGTTGCTGTGTGTAATACCTGCTTTTGTTTAGTCCTTTATATTTCTATAATGTATTTAGACACATATGTCTAGTTAATTTAGTTTTGCTTAATTTAAGATTGGATGTATGCTGTTCTGGTCAGCCATGTTCTTCTTTCTATATGTATCTTTTTCCTTCTTTATTTATAAGCCACCCAGAGTTGTCTAGTCAGCAGTTTTGAACTTTATAATAATAATAACAGCAGCAACAACAATGATTCTGCCAATCCATCAACAGAGAGACTGCAATGAACCAGTCAATACCTGACTAAGAAGAAACACTGCAGTTCTGGGTCCAGCTGTGGGACAACCCAAAGAAATACAACAAGAATGCAGCTTGGATAAAGGAGGTGGATAAGAATA